TATTGCCAAAGACAAAAATAAAGAGAAAACATTGACAAATTAAAATTCTCTTTGAAGCAATGTGATCCGATGTACGGTTAACGTTCTACAGGCATTCAAATGTTGCCCGTCTAGAGGCGGTTGTATGCATTAGAGGGTTAAGTTAGTTCCATAATAAGTATGCACTGAAAAGAGTTGAACTAATTTGTCATGCATTAATTTGACAAGCTTGAAAATATTAATATGACCAATGGCCTTATCGATGAATGAGATTGAAAGCAGAGTGTGTTTTTTTATTAAACATTCCGGAAGAGTGAGTAAGTTTTTCGATGATTCGGTTTGCGCGAAAGTAGAGTATGTTTATCGTTCACAATAATTGAGGAAATTACGGTCTTTTTATTATTGCGTTTTGGACACAACAATGAACCAGTTTTATTGTCATATGAAAAGAAAAGTTCCGCAGCAAAAGTACGATTGAAAATGTCTGAAATTGAATGATTGATCCGAATAGCCCATCTATTCTCTATTGATTTGCTACAGTCATTTGTACACTTGATAATTTTGATAACATGTGGTTATAAAATACCAAGCGTTCACATAACACAGAGTTTGTGTTAAATAGTCTAGAAAGACATCCATTCATTTTCGAAACATTGTGCTTGATTTGACAATATGGATTTCAGGATATTTGTTTTGTTTTTAGCTCTATTTTCATTCGGAAGCTCATCAACTGTGAGGGATCCGCAAGAAAAGGTGGAATTGACTATTTTCGGGGGAAAAAGTAATCAACATAGAAAATGAACGATACATTTAACGATACACACTTTTATATTTATTTTACTTTCAATTTTATAGAACTGCCATTTATCGAGCCACGCATATGCTGGGACTGGGTCTGTAGTGCTGGATGCGAAGTACACGGATGTAAAAACGGCTATTGCGAAAATGATAAATGCTGGTGCAGAAGATGTCCGCAACAACCAAGCTTTTAGTCTCTTATCTGTTCGAAAGATGTGGACCAATGAAATAACTTTCGAAGTATTTGCCTTATCCGTTTGCTTATGTTATTATTTTAGCAAAGTTTAGCATAGTGTCGTATATATTACTATTGATCATCTTTCAATATTTGGTCTTCAGTGCTTTTCGATGGTTCTGAATCCAGGAAACATTACGATCAACTAGGATATAGGAATACTCTTTGAAGGAATCTTTGGACAACTTTAAAAAAAATTACGCTGAAAAAATAAATTGAATATGAAAGAAATCGACACAAAATTTTCATTTTCTCAAAAAGTTTTTCTTTATTTTAAAATGAATTATACAAAAATGGTGCTATTATTCAAAGTAATTTATCAATTGATGAGACGTTTGTTTCAGATAATGCCACCGAAATTATAATATTTGTCCAAATGGGTGGTGATTGACCTTCGACATTTTTAATCGCTTTTCTCGTTTCTTCAATTGCATTCAAATTGCCCAACAAATCCGAATATGTTCCGAGCACAAATTTCCCTATACTATTTAGAACCCGTTTCACATTTGCCACTCTCTAAGCCAACCTGTTCGCAATATTCTTTTAAGCTAATACTTTTAACATCGACTAAATCATTTTCGCCAACAACACATTCGCTCATAAGCTGCGATACGTCATATGTGGTTGCGCTAGTTTGCACCTCATATTTTGATGACTCGTCGTGTAAATCAATTAAAAACATATACCATGTGCGTGAGTCTTCGAAGTGTCAGATTGGCCAATACATTCGTGACGTCAAAGAAAACCGTTGAATTGGTATTGGTGATGTTGCATAGGAAATCGACAAATTCAATGTGTTGCAATAGATCATTTGATTTCTTCGTCGTTATGCCAATATTCAAATCAGATGCCACATTAAATATTTTCTTTGCGCATTCTTTCAACTCTTCTGAGTGGACGTCGTTGAATTTGGTCAGTGCAATCGTCATTTTTCCATTCAATAGACCAATATCGATGATGTTCTTCTCAACTTGATGCACATAAAACTCTCTGATGTCATCGAGGGTACTTTCTGTTTCAATCTTGAGATACTTTTTCATCTTTGTCAACAAGTCACGATAGCGATCTCTTAGCATGCCCTTCATTCCAGTTGAAACTTCGTTGGAGATGTCGTACAAAATGGTCGGTTCCGCATTGGTGACTTCATACAAAAATACGGCAAAGTCGATATTCCGTTGAATTCGTTACAGTTTGTTTTCCCTAATGTTAATGTTCAAATCGTTGGCAAATTGCATAGCCAAAATCGGAATTATCTTTTCGAACGAATTAATGAAAAAGAGACAAATCCATATACAACGTTCGGATACCGCCTTCCAAAATACAATTGATCGCTCGGAATAATTCCGCTTTTTTTGCGGATTGTGTTCCAGAATACCGCCACTGGTATCCTGTGCGAATGATGAAGATTTTGCAATAAACAGCGCGAGATTCTAGGAAAATCCGCTCAAATCCAAGGTAAAAAAAAGTCCATACGACGTCCTGTGAGGTGATATTTGGTTGATAATTTCAAGAAAAATATGCAGCACACACTGTGATCAAGAAATAAAACACAAACCGAAATATCCCAAAAATATAAGATAATCATGGCACACTTCTCCGTTTTCATTACAAAATGTGTGACTTTTTTTTAAACCGAAATGCATACGACCATAGATGTTTACTTAAAATCGGAAAACGTGGAAGAAAATAACTCATTTCAATAGAAAAAAAGGCCCCACTTTTACAGTTTGAAAAAGAAATCGCAGCAATGATAATGCGTAATTCTAATGAATCTTATTATTCCAATGTGTACTTTAGGGTGTTCAGCTAATCTGAAAAAGAAGAATGAATAGCATAAATTTAAAGAGAAGCCAATTTTATGTCAACTGGTAGCATTAATAGAGCGTTATACAACACTTCCAGAAGAAAAAAAAACTCTTTGCAAAATCGAATAATGCTTACCTAAACGACCCACTAGAGTACTCCTGCGCAGTTAACATCAACCAGATGGGGAGTCAACTTGCTTCAACGCAACTATCCCACATGATCGGGATAGCC